CCCCGAACTATGTCCCACCCACCGCAATTTGAACCCCTAAAAACAAGTTTGACAGTGAAAGGTACTGTGGTAAACTTTGATTTATTTGATTTCCAGGAAAGCAAATAAATAACAACATTTATGTCAACTTGTATGGACTGTCTGTAAATTGTAAGGATTTTATGGAGCAGGACGAGTCAGTGCAACGTCAATCAAATGAGAGGGTGGGGGGCAATTGCTGCATTGTGGGGGGGGGATATGTCGGGTAGAGTAGTTTATTTTTCCTGTAATACTTCATTATAGTTTTTTAAGACAAAGCTAACTGAAAGGGGCGCTGAGCAGAGTTACAACCAGGGATTACAGTTCGGCGCCCCCTCCAGCAGATGGCGCTCTAGGCGACCGCCTAGTTCGCCTATGCCAAGAGCCGGCTCTGGGTTTCTCCATTCTCTTCAATCATCTCCATTGCTGGTTCTGTCTGTCGTTGTGTCCTTGGGCAAGACACTTCACCCACCTCGCCTGCTGATGGTGGCACTGGTACATGGCAGCCCAACCTCTGTCAGTGTGTCCCAGGGCAGCTGTGGCTACAATGTAGCTTAGCACCATCAGTGTGTGAATGTACAGAGCTTTGGGGTCCAGAGGGACTTGATCAGAATCAGGTTTATTGATCAAGTATGTCGACACACACGAGGAATTTGTTTCTGGCTGTTTGTATCTCTCTAGTATTAACAATACATATAATTTACACAAAGTACACAGATTATACTTCACTGTACCAGGATATATCTGTTATGGTGTTATTCACAAAAACCCAACATCTATAAGTTCAGAACATTTACCATCTGTTTAAAATGAAGGTGGAGTTCAGCTCTGACCTTTAATGAAGATGACGTCATTAATCTATCCCAGGTGTGAGCTAGGCCTGTGATTGGTTCTCTGTGAGGACATTAACCAATCACATTTCAGGACAAACAGCAACAGATGATTACAAACCTGAACCTAAAGTAACAAATAACTAACAGCCTTCTCCAAATAGTACACAAAAATAATATTTACTCAAGTAAAGATACTCAAAACAATGTACTCAAGTACAGTACTCAAGTAAAAGTACTCCAGTACTGTCCACCACTGAGTAAAACTTTCAAAGAAAATAAACTTTTTGTTTTTCAGGAGAACTCTGATGTTTTAAACTAAAGCAACATGTTTCTGTAGAACCCAGCAGAACCGAACCTCAGGGTTATTTGGACTCACAGCAGAACCGAACCTCAGGGTTATTTGGACTCACAGGAGAACCGGGCCGTCCGGCCCCCCAGGCCGCACTGCTTCACCCTCTGGCCGTGGAACAGACCGAAGCTCAGCTCCCCGACGAACTTGTCCAGTTCTGGTCCCGTGGCGTTGACCAGCTCGGCTCCGGTTCGGCACAGCACGGACCCGTGGACCCAGAAGGGCAGCCCGGTGGCCACGGCGGCCATCAGGGCGCAGGACAGCCCCACGAAGCCGGAGCAGGAGAACAGAACCCGCTTCTGTCGGTTCGGCATGATGCTGCCATCAGGACCAGGACCGGGCCCGGGMTCAGGTCCGTACGGGAGCAGGCCTCCTGGTTCTGGACGGAACCGGGATCGGATGACTCCTCCTCTGCTGCTCCCGGTGTCTCCGTGGCAACGAGAGGTCCAATTACCTCCAGCGGGACTGGACGGTTCTGACCCGTGAACTGACAGATGGTTATTGTCTGCCTGACCCACAGCATGACCCGAACCCGTCAGAACCAGAACCTGCAGTCATGATGAGAGAACAGATCATCAGAACCACAGCTGAGAGGCTTGTTTACACGTTTGTTTGTTTGTTTGTTTAATTAATTTGTTTGTGTTTTTAGTTTGTTTTTATTTGTTGTTTTTATTTATTTGTTATTTTTTATTTGTTTGATTTTGTTTTTATTTTGTGTTTGTTGTTTTAATTTATTTGATTGTTTTTGT